AAAAACACACTGTATATTATATAAGATTGTGCAATTTTTATTTTTTTTTAATTAACTGATATTATTCTCAAATTAAAGCCAAGAGGTTTTATCTAGCTAGTCTTGAAGGACTCTTGACTTATTTGTCTTTTGTAAGTTAGGTAGCATTTTTAAATTCGTAGTAGCATACACAGTCCTAAATTATTTACTGCTCAAATGACTTTCAAGAAAATAAAAATGTTAGATCTTTATAAAAGCATGATGAAGTGCAGTACACAAAAAAGAAAATACAATAAATGGATATTGTCAGGTTGTATCCACTCTGGTTGTTGGTGGGGATGTTCACATCTCCAGTCTATGCACAGTGACTGTTCAGCGTTTAGCAGCTCACATGGATCCACCTCATCCACGTGGCTCTGACTGGTAAGAATATTTACTGTATTTTACACTTCTTTTTAATTCTGCTTGTGTGTCAGTCTTTATTACATTCATGATGAGTGCTAAAGCCATAGGGGTCATACAACACCTGGGGAGGCAATTAGGTTTGATCCAAGGGGGGGAGGGGTCAGGTTTAATTCCTTGGATGAAGAGCTCTACACCAGCATCCAGAAACCTCGCTCATGGGAATTGTATCAGCCAAAATTTAATTTAATCTTGACTACTAGAGGTTAGTACATGAAATCTATATTTTATGATATAGTTGTGTATACATATGCATGCACACATGAACATCTATACCTGTGTATGGGGGAATTCACAAATGGGTAAATATCTAAAAACTTCAGATTCATTTAAAAAAAAATTGAAAGAAAACAGCCCAGCTATCTTCATATAATGCCTTGAGTTTCAGAAAGTTCACTTGGGTAAAAAAAAAAAAAAAAAAAGTCATCTCTAAAACATATGGTAAGCTTTCATGTTAAGTAATGCATGATAGGGTTTACAAGAATTATTTAATTGTTCAGCAAGCTATACTCTTAACAAATATCTCAAGAATGATATGCTTGATTTGCAAGAATATACTGTAATGTCAGAAATTACCACAGAATCAGTATAGTTATTACATTAAAATTGTGCAGTTAGCATGCTGAGTGTAAGTGTTAAAAGAAAGCAGCTACATAGAGCCACAGTGAACACAGTCACAGAGCCAGAGTAAAGACAGTCACAGAGCTACAGTAAAGGCGGTGAGAGAGAGCACAGTAAAGGCAGTCATAGAGAGCCCAGTCAAGACAGTCACAGAGCCACAGTCACGACGCACAGAGAGCCACAGTCACGGCATGCACAGAGAGCCACAGTGTTAGTCAGAGAGGCATAATAAATAATCCTATCATTCGTACTTCCTATATGCGTTGAAATTAAAAAAAGAAATGTAACCTGTAAAGACCATGTTATTACATTCATTTTTCTCAAGGAAGGTGCCTTGATCCAATTAATTGGACCCATTCCTTCTTTCTTATGATTGAGCCTGATTGCTTCCCATGTTCCCAAGTACTGTATGACCCTATGAATTTATTAGTCCCCCATGAATGTCATCACCACATTCATGGAGGGTGGGGAGTGCTAAACCTACAGGGATAATACAGCACTTGGGGGAATGGGAGGCAATCAGGTTGGATCCAAGAAAGGAGAATAGGTCCATTTCCTTGGATGAAGAGTCCTGTCACTGGCATCAAAGCAACTAACTCCATTGAGGTTGTAATAATTCATTTATTGAGAAGTTTGTTTGTTGTTCAGGTGTGTTCTTGCAGTGAAATTAGGATTACAGCAACTTTTACCCTCGCTGGATTCCCAAGGTGGGTCATCCCAGCATTCTCCAACAGCCACACTGTTACACTCCTGGGGACAGTCTCCTACAGCCACTCTTGGTAAGGTTATTTATTGTACCCATCTGTTAATATTTATAGTATGAGTACTAATATTTGTTCCTTTTCAGATTTTCATTCATCCTAATAGTAAATGAGTCACTTTTTTTGTAAAATGAGTTATCTTTCTTCGGTTCCTTCCTCCATTTTTCTCCATTTTTTTGCCCAGTCTTTCCTCATCCATCCCTCCACCCTCCTTACTCTTTTACACTTTCTTTTCTTAACTTATTCCTTTTTTAGTGGCCTGGTGGCAAAAGCTCTCTTCTCACACAGTGAGGGTCCGGGTTCTATTCCCAGCAGAAGTCGGAAACGTTGGGCGTGTTTCCTTACACCAGTTGTCCATGTTCACCCGTCAGTAATAATGGGTTCCTGGGTGTTAGTTGACTGGTGTGGGTCACATCCTGGCTAAAAATTTGACCTAACTTGCCCAAAATGCTCTGCATAGCAAGCGGCTTTCTATAAAGTAGTACAGGTCCACAAACCTCTATCCAAAATTCTGAAATTGGATAAGTTCTGAAAACCAAAGCATTTTCATGGAATGTGGAGAGTCGGTCATCTCAGTACTGGGTCACGCCGCCACATAGTGGCGTTGAGAATCATTCTGAACTTCGAAAAATTCTAAAACTTGAAACAATACTGGCCCCAGGGTTTTGGATGAAGGGATGTGGACTGTGTTATTGATGTCAGCTAGGCCTGTATACCTTGTACATGTACTTGTAGAAATAAAGATATTATTATTTCTTTTTACTTTCCTTTAGTCTTTTCTACCCTTTCATTTCAGATGAATATTAATTACTGAGTACAATTATTCCTATAAATTCAAGTGTTTAAGGGCAATGTGTGGTGTAAATATTATGCAGAAAATTCGGAGTGTGGAAATTAGGAAAAGGTGTGGAGTTAATAAAAGTATTAGTCAGAGGGCAGAAGAGGGGTTGTTGAGGTGGTTTGGTCATTTAGAGAGAATGGATCAAAGTAGAATGACATGGAAAGCATATAAATCTATAGGGGAAGGAAGGCGGGGTAGGGGTCGTCCTCGAAAGGGTTGGAGAGAGGGGGTAAAGGAGGTTTTGTGGGCAAGGGGCTTGGACTTCTAGCAAGCATGCGTGAGCGTGTTAGATAGGAGTGGAGACGAATGGTACTTGGAACCTGACGATCTGTTGGAGTGTGAGCAGGGTAATATTTAGTGAAGGGATTCAGGGAAACCGGTTATTTTCATATAGTCGGACTTGAGTCCTGGAAATGGGAAGTACAGTGCCTGCACTTTAAAGGAGGGGTTTGGGATATGTTGTGTATCTTTATATGTGTATGCTTCTAAACTGTTGTATTCTGAGCACCTCTGCAAAAACAGTGATAATGTGTGAGTGTGATGAAAGTATTTTCTTTCTTTTATGGGTCACCCTGCCTCGGTGGGAGACGGTCGACTTGTTGAAAAAAAAAAAAAGTTAGATAACTTTCTACTATTGGGCAACCCATGAATAAATTTTATTACGGGGTTTCTGAAAGTAAATCAAATTGTATTCAAGTAGCTAAGGAATTTTGGGTACAAAGATTTTTTTTTTTGTCACTTTTCCTGCATTAAAAACTGGTGTCCCAGTGTGGTCATATCTGGCTGATGCTTCCCTTCCTTCTCTCTAAACCCTCATAAACAATTTTATTTTTATAAAAATATATGGTTATTGCAGTATTGGGTGAATATTTGTAGATACAACTCATTATGCAACAGTGGTTGCTAATGAAGCAAAAGAAGACTGCAGTAGTGTCTGCCTGCCAGTGCACTCGTTTCAACATTGCTGATGTGTCTAGTTGTAGCTAAACAAAAATACAAGACCCAGCAGTTTCACTTTTGAACACTATTTGTGGGATTTGGTGCTTTTTAACTGAAAAAATGATACTCTAATGTGTAGTGAAGAGTGAGGGGAGAGTGATGGTTGCCAATGGCTTGCAAACAGTTAACACATACTGTCTACATATTTACTACATTTCTTAACTTTTACTTGATAAAATACTATATTTATCTGATATATGCTTATTTGGTGTAGAGGATTTCTATTTGTTTTGAAGGTGTAGTGGGTTTGTTTTTGTGGTTGTGGTGGGTTGCAATTTCTTTTATAGGTTTAGTGGGTTTTGATTTGTTTTGTAGGTGTAGCGAGATTCTGTTTGGTGTAGCTTTACCAAGAAATATGGATTTAATAATTGTAATTGTGCTTGCAGATGAGCCAGCCTCCTTGACACTGCTTCCATATTTAATGTTTTCTCACCATTTACTTCAATGCATTTATCTTTGGTAGACTATATGTTTAATTGGTTGAGGTGTGATAAATGCCTAACTGTCTGGTACAATTTGGTCAAGAAATGTTGATTTTGAAATTGATTGCAGTAGTGCTTATATCAAAAATGTTGATTATGAGAAAAAAGCTGTGACAGATAAGATTAAAACAGATGTTAAAAGTGGGGATATTATGTTGGAGTGGTTGATGTATTTGTTTCATTTATTTTTTTTTTATTAACCCATTGGCTGTTTCCCACCAAGGCAGAATAACCTGAAAAAGAAAAAACTCTTTTGTCATCATTCACTCCATCACTGTCTTGCCAGAGGCATGCCTACACTACAGTTAAAAAACTATCATCAACACTCCTCCTTCAGAGTGCAGGCACTGTACTTCCCACCTCCAGGACTCAAGTCTGGCTTACCAGTTTTCCTGAATCCCTTCATAAATGTTACTTTGCTCACACTCAACAGCATGTTGGCATAAAAAAAAATACTTGTCTCCACTTGCTCCTATCACACACTCATGCATGCTTGCCTGAAGTTCAAGCCCCCTTCCACACAAAACTACCTTTACCCCCTTCCTTCCAATACAGATTCATATGCTCTCCAAGTCATTCTGTTTCATTCCATCCTCTCTCAACCACCCCTCCTCAGCCCAATGGATAACACTCTTAGTAACCCCGCACCTCCTCATAATTTCCAAATTACGGATTCTCTGCATTACATTCACACTGAACATTGCCTTCAGATACACCATCTCCACTTCCTCCTTGTTGCAACATTTGCCACCCATATGAAAGTGTTGGTATAACTATACTTACATTCTCGTCTTTGTTTCCATGGATAATGTTCAAAGAAGGGAATGTGAGAGTATAGTTTACTACATGCATGAGAGAAGGGAAGGTACCTAAGGATTGGCAAAGAGCATGCATAGTTCTTTTGTAAAAGGGGACAAGAGAAACTAAGAATTTTAGGGGGATAAATCTAGAGGTTTAAGGTAGTAGGTTGGTAGACAGCAACTGCCCAGGGAGGTACTACCATCCTGCCAAGTGAATGTAAAATGAAAGCCTGTAATTGTTTTACATGATAGTAGGAATGCTGGTGTCCTTTTTTCTGTCTCGTAAACATGCAAGATTTCAGGTAAATCTTGCTACTTCTACTTACACTTGGGGTCACACTACACATACATGTACAAGCATATATATACACACACCCCTCTGGGTTTTCTTATATTTCCTCTTCTCTCCATGGGGAAGTGGAACAGAATTCTTGTATAAATTACTAAATTTAAAAGGAGAAACTTTTTTTATTTTTGGGCCACCCTGCCTCTGTGGGATACAGCCAGTTTAAAAAAAAAAAAAAACTAGAGGTGGGAAGTGTAGTGCCTGCAGTCTGAAGGAGGGGTGGGGACATTTAAATTGTAGTGTCGATGCACCTCTGGCAGGGCAGTGATGGAGTTACATAGTTTAATATCTTTATTAAGCACCCCATACCCATCCTCTGGGCAGTAGTCAAAAGATTGTAGAGGCACATAATGGGTCTAGGAACTGGACTGCAAAGTTTTGATAGGTTTAACAAGTTACAGTGGTTATGTACTATTTTCATGTTTATATCTGATTACATTCATGATGAGTTATTAATGTATACATGAATTAGGTCAAAAACTATTATAAAATACCTTATTTTCCAAAATGGTTGGTAATATACCACTGTGGATAAAATACTTGGACCTTTCTTGAACATTTCTGAGTGAGTTGTCTCTGAATTCATTAATTTTATTGCATTCTAGTGCATAGTGTGACAATTGTCCATCTGGCAAAGTTTACGTCAGCTTTTTCTGCATCATCTGGTGGTGGTGATTTAACCTCTGAGATTCTGGTAGCCCAGCCGGACCCTGGCAGTAGTAACATCCAAGAGTTTGCTTATTTTGTTGGATACATCATAGACATGTTACTGACTCGTGTCAATCTCCTACAGTCTCGAGTCACTGATGTTCAGTTTAAGTTCTTTTCATGTGATGTTGAAAACATTGTTCTTTTTGGATCATCCTATTTCAGTGGAAGATGGCCAGTTTGTTAATATAAAAAAAAAAATTCTGAGCAAATAAATAAAAGATGGTGTGGGGTCCTCAAGGTATAATTAGAAGCACGATGGAGGAGGATAGGGTGACAAAAAAAGGGTACATATATTTAGGGTGGGAGGGATAAGGGAGTCATCCCAGGAATGGTTGGAAGGAGGTTGGTGTGAGCATGTTAAACAGGAGTAGAGACAGTTTTTAAGACGTCTGTTGAAGTGTGAGCAAAGTAACATGAAGGGACTCGAGTCCTGTAGTTTGGAGAGTCATCTGAACTGTGATGTCAGCACACTTCTGGTAAGACAATGACTAGGTAAATGATGGTGACCCCAAAGTCACCCTACCCTGGCGAGAGACAACCAACTAGGCTAAAAAAAAAATACGTCTTTCACATATACAGTAGTCTCATGGAACCTCTAATGCACACCCTCTCTACAAGTTTGTAGAAGTGATTATTTTTGTTTACAAGTTCATGGAGTACACAATTTAAACCACTTGTGCATATTAATGCTAGTTTCATATACATTTAGTGTGTGGAAGACAGTCTGACAAGTTGGATCTCTCTTCAAATACTGTATCTTCATCCTTACATTGTAGGTATTTATAAAAATAGTATGGTTATGTTGGATAAATATATTTTGAGTCAAGAAAATGGCTGTTAGGTCTTTGAGTTTAAGGTTTTGAATAATATATATATCGTGTGAGGAATGATGGCTTTGTTTAGTGAATGAATTGTTAATCGAGTCGAGTTGTCCCTTTCTTAGTCAAGTGTGCATGTACAACTAATTATGAGCATGATCATGGTGAGAATCTTACTAAAAGTTGTGAACGTATTGCAGGTTAAAGTGAAACTTTCTAAAATCAACTTTACAGCCTTATATTAGATGCAAAAGAAAAAAAAGTGATCTAATTTGTTAACTCTTTCTTTGTTATGCCCTTTTGCTTCTTGCAAAATGCTGCAAACAGCACTGGAATGAATATCTTTATTAACGAGGCATTTTACCAGCCAGTGATTTTTCAATCCAATATAGGAAATAAATACTCGATACATCTTGAGAGAATTACCTCTCCACTTCTTCCATCATTTCTGGTATATATTGCCTATATCAGATTGAAAAAAAACCACTGGTTAGTTAAACATCTTAGTAATAACGATACCCATGAAACAGCACTGTGCATACTCAAAAGCTGTGTTTCTTAGGCAAGCTGTTTTTGTCATATAATTTTTTATGAAGCATATGTGTACATATACATAAATTTTCATGATTTAATATTTACACTGAACAGGCGTACTAGCAAACGAGCTTCGTGGCATGGAACGTGAAGATGCTGCGGTATCTGTTATGTGTGGGGCTCCTCTCTATCAACTTGCACCTCCTGATGATGATGCAACATCTGATTCTCCACCAATCTCTTCCACCTCAGCCACATCCACTTCTAACCTCTCCAGATGAATAATAGCACCACAGGAGTCTCACTAAACTTTAACAGTTTTGTAAACTCTATCATTGCATGCATTTGCAGGTTTTATTGATAGTATTCTTCAGACTATTGTATGTCCTTTTTCTAGAATGCCATTGCTTCCCTTCTAAAATTACATGCTTTGCTGTGAATAATCATGTTAATATTGTGATGTGATAGGTTATTACCTTTAATTTTGATAAATTGTATAAGCACAAAAATTATCCTTAGTTCTCAGTTGTCTTTACTAAGGAACTCAGTTCTAGGTTTACTTGTAATTTATGAAGGAAAATAGGGTACAAGTAACAATTGTGTGTTCTGAATATCAAATCTTATATGTATTAGGGTGCAGTATCTCCACTCCTCGTTATGTAGTTATGCATATATTTATTTGTGCCAAGTCATATGTCTTTTCGTATCACTGGTTGAGTTTTCATGTTCCGTAAATTTTATATTTATCAAAAAGAGTAAAATATTTTATCTTGTTTACTATGTTACCCTTAGGATAGGAGGTTTTACTTGGCTAAAATTTAGTGTTCTAGGATACTTTACAGCAGGGGTCCCCAACTTCTCGATATCTTTATTACATTAATAGGAATAAGCACAACCCATAAGGAAACATCAGGTTTTATCCAAATTAAAGGAAGATATATCCCATTCCTTGAATTATAAGTGCCTTGTTGGCAGCAAGACACTCCTATAAAGGGGCTAATATTTTTATAATGAAAGACTATTATGAAATTTTAAGAAAATTCATGTGGGCTTCCCTTCCCCTCTCATCCCAGGAAACGTTTTCATTATATTTGTACAAGCAAGTTCTGTAGTTCTTTACTCAAAATGTGTATATATATGTTTTTTTTTTTTTTTCAACAAGTCGGCCGTCTCCCACCGAGGCAGGGTGACCCAAAAAGAAAATACTTTCATCATCATTCAACACTTTCACCACACTCGCACATTATCACTGTTTTTGCAGAGGTGCTCAGAATACAACAGTTTAGAAGCATACACATATAAAGATACACAACATATCCCTCCAAACTGCCAATATATATGTATATGTGTATATATTATATATATATATATATACAGTGGACCCCCGCATAGCGATTTTAATCCGTGCAAGAGGGCTCATTGTTATGCGAAATGATCGGTATGCTAATGAATTTTCCTCATAAGAAATAATGGAAATCAAATTAATCCGTGCAAGACACCCAAAAGTATGAAAAAAAAATTTTTACCACATGAAATATACATTTTCCTACACACAAAGAGAAGGATACATGCACAATAGTAGAGTAGTACATGCACAATATATATTGTGCATGTACTACTCTACTAAATGAAGAAAAAAATGACACTTACCTTTATTGAAGATAGCAGCAATGACTGATGAGACACTGTGTCCTGGGAGTGCCTTTTCCTCCTGAGTACTGTAGGTCCTGTTTGGCATTTTCTTCCAGAACAGGCCTTATCACACTGTGTATGCCACTACGATTCTTAAATCTCTCAAACCAACCTTTGCTGGCTTTAAATTCACCAATATGAGCACTAGTTCCAGGCATTTTTCCCTGTTCACCTGGGTGTTAGTCGACTGGTGTGGGTTGCATCCTGGGAGACGAGATTAAGGACCCCAATGGAAATAAGTTAGACAGTCTTCGATGACACTGACTTTTTTGGGTTATCCTGGGTGGCAAATCCTCTGGGGTTAATTGTTTCTTGGTATTCTCAATAAGCCACACCAACAACGGTGCTACTACAGCAGCAGCAGACGGTACTACAGCAGCAGCAGCTGACGGTGGTACAACAGCAGCTGACAGTGCTACAGCAGCAGCAGACGGTACTACAGCAGCAGCAGACGGTACTACAGCAGCAGCTGACAGTGCTACAGCAGCAGCAGACGATGCTACAGCAGCAGCAGACGGTACTACAGCAGCAGCTGTACCACCAATAGTAGCGATGGTTGATTGGGGTTTATTATACAACCTGGCCAGCTCGGAGACACGCACTCCACTTTCATACTTATCAATGATCTTTTTCTTCATCTCTATAGTAATTCTCACCCTTATTGCTGTAGGGTTGGCACTAGAAGCTTTCTTGGGGCCCATGGTCACTTATTTTGCAGATAAAATCACCAAAAACACTAATAGTACGAAATGTTCGATTGTATGCTTGGATGTTACCGCGGAGGCTGGCTGGTAAAACATGCCACCAGCGGCACATGTGAGGCTGGCTAAGGGCGGGACATTGGACGCGTCTCGGACGAACGCGGTGAGCGGGTTTTTTGGCGGTATGCGAGGCAAAATTTTTGCGATAAAAGCAAGCGGTAAGCGGATTAAAAGTTATGTGATGCCAACGGTATGCGGGGGTCCACTGTATATATATATTATAATTATTATATTATTTTTATATATTATTTTATTTTAAATTTTAAAAATTGGGGGTTTTTTTAAAAACCTCAAGAGGGGTTGGCAAAAAAACGAAAAAAATTTTTCCCCCCCAAAAAAAGGGTAAAAAAAAAACCGGCAAAACACCCCAAAATGAAAAAAATTTTTTTTCCCCAAAGAAAAGAATTTTTTAAAACGCGAATTCTCTGCACGATATTCACACCAGACATGACATCTCCATTGCCTTCAGCCTCCTTGCTGCAGCATTCACAACCCATGCTTCACACCCATGTCAGAGCGTTGGTACCACTATACTTTCGTACAGTCTCCATTTTGCTTCCACAGAAAATGTTCGTCTCCACAGACACCTTAATGCACCACTAAAATTTCTCCGTCAGTTCTATGGTTCACCTTGCCTTTCATAGACCCATCTGCTGACAAGTCCACTCCTAGATATCTGGATGCTTTCACTTAATACTCCCTCCAATCTGATAAAACAATCTTTCATTACCTAAATTTACCCTCATTACCTTGTTCTTTCCAATGTTTACTTTTAATTTCCCTGCATTCATTTCTCTCCAAACCACTTCTATAAATATATTAACCATGGTTAATATGTTTAAAGTCTGCTTTTTGGGGAAAATAATCTCCCTCCCTCATTATCTTATAAACACTTAACTGCTTTCAGTAGTCTACCACCCATTCCTGAGTCACACAAGGTTGTGTCCTTAGTACTACCCTTTTTCTCTTGGCTATAAATGACCTACCTTAGGCAGGCACTGACCGTTGTCTGGTAGCAGCCTCCCTTCAAGATGCGCTTGACTAAGTTTCCCATTGGGTCACTTCTCATGGCTTTAAATTTTCTAGTACCAAAACCCATTTCATTACTTCACTAGATGTCCTCTTATCCCAGATATTCCATTGTATTTACATGGCTCACGTATTCCAGAATGTGATACAGTCAAGTTTCTTGGCCTTCTCTTCAATTACCGGTTGACATGGAAACCTCACATTTCCTCTTTGAAGGCAGCTTGCCATGGTTGGCTGAATCTCCTTAAAATTCTTGCTCATCGTTCATGAGGAGATTGCCGAACTCTCCTCCGTTTGCATTCCACCCTAGTCTTGTCCAGGCTGGACTGTGGCAACAAAGTCTATTCTGCAGCTTCTCCTACAACTCTAAGTTAGATCCCCTTCGTCATCAGGGTCTACGTTTATGCCTTGGTGACTTTCGTTCATTCCCTGTTGAAAGCCTCTGTGGAGAGGCGAATGTTCCTTCCTTAGCTGATCGTCGTGATGCTCATTGTCTTCGTTATTTTGTCCACGCTCATGACCTTCATGTTCCTTCTACGTATAGGTTGGTCTTGGACGTTAGTATTATTATTATTATAATCAAGGGGGAAGCGCTAAACCCGGAGGATTATGCAGCACCTGGGAGGGGATGTGGAAGGCATTCAGGCTTAATTCGGGGAACTGGAGCACAGATCCAATTCCCTAAATCAAGAGCCCCTCACCAACATCAAGGAACCTTCCTTGAGGGGTTGGACGTTAGTAGCCCATTATTTGTTCGGTGCCCCTGCTTACTCAGACTGTTTTCTCTTCGTCTTCACTCTGGTCTTCTCTCCAGTTACCTCCCTTGTATGTTCATTTAACATCTGCCTTTTCCCTTCCCCCTTGGGAAGTTCCGACGGTTCGTGTCTGTTCTCCTCTACTGCCGTGCACCAAAGCTCTCCTGCCTACAACTGCTTCTCGCTCTATTTTTTTTAATCACTTCTGGTCGCATACTCATGCCATTGCTGTTTATACAAATGGTTTTAAATCTTCTGGTGTTGGGTTCGTGGCACTGTTTCCTGACAACGTTGTCCAAGGTCATTTGTTAGACTTGGCTAGTATTTTTTATTGTTAAGTTATATGCCATCCTCATAGTGCTTCTCCGTATTACATATATGTCTCCTTTAACATTTGTGATTATTTCAGATTCCCTCAGTGCTTTACAAGCCATTAAACAATTGATTCTGCACTTCCATTAACCCTTTGTATTCAACTATGGTTGCGCTGTGCGGCTAGCAAAAAACAAAGACATCGTTTTCTGTTGGGTCCCTTGACACGATATGCAGGGCAATGAACAAACAGATGCTGCTGTGTAGTCAGCGGTGCATGATCTTCCGGTTTCCCATAGAGGTATTCCGTTCAGAGATTTATTTTCCAGTCATCTCAGACCATCTTTGTGGCTGTTGCAAACAACAGTGGTCGGGCATGCACCATTACAAATTGCACTCTATTAAACACTTTTAGGTTTGTGGCCATCTTACCATCGTTGCCAGACTCGGGAGACTGCACTCTCCCGTCTCCGCATTGGCCATACTCGCCTTACCCATGGGTATCTCGTGGAACGACACCCTATTCCTCCCTGTGAGGTTTGTCAGGTCCCTATTTCAGTTCTTCACTTTCTTGTAGATTGCTCGGTTTACCGGCGAGCTTGCAGGATTTACCTCCAACGACGCAGCTGCCCTACCACTCTTACCTTATCTGCCCTTCTTGCAGATGACCCTGCCTTTGACTTACAATCACTTTTTGACTTTGTCAGCAACTGCTTTACTGTATGAACTTTGACACGTAGCCCGTTGCGTCCCTTCCAGCCATTTTCTCCCCCCACCTCTGATCCCCTCTCCACCTAGCTGTGTATAGCCCTAGCACTATTTTCTGCCCCGCAGTGCTGTATCACCCTTGTCAGTTTAGCGCTTTTTGATTTTAATAATAATACCACCTATTCCATATACAGTGGACCCCCAGATTAAGTCGTCATCGGAATAAGTAAAATTTTTTCGTCAAAATATTGGCTCAGTGAATGTCACTGAACTCAGTGTAAGTCATTCATCCAAAACGTGTCCGCGCTGCCTCGACACTCCATGTACAGCCAGTGTGCCATTGTTTACAAGCAAGTGAGGACGATCCCACGCGTTCATACATTTTGTATTATTCCATTCTTTTTAGTGCTTGAAACTGCTAAATAAGCCACCATGGGCCCAAAGAAAGCTACTAGTGCCAGCCAGAGAGAGAGGAAAGAATGTGCCTTTTTCACTGATTCTGCAATATGTACAATACTAAAGCAGCAGGAGTCAATAAAGGCTACAGCGCCAGCCAGCGATATAAAGTGTAGCAAGTTAATTGATTGATAGAAAAGGACATCACGGAACTGACTCTTACATTGTTGTTGGAGGTATATAGGGCTACTAACACCGCCGCCTCTGCTGTCGCCTCACCACCACTATGTAAGACTTATCTTTCAGTGGCCCTTATACACCCAGCTACAAACAACACACCACCACTCGTGACATTCTTAATGCCATATTTTATTCTACAGTATATATCATGTTTCTATGTTATTAATATTGTTTATGTCATATTAGACGAATTGTGCTAGATAAATAAGCCGTAGAGCTGATATTAGTGTCATATTGAAGGACTATCTTGTCCTGTCTCCCAACACAATTCCTAACATACGCCAGAAACAGATGTCTCTGGAACACTTTTTTTGAGGGACAGGAGTCAAGTGACTCTCAAGCTAGTCCTAGTGGCATTAAAAAACAAAGAAGGGAAGTAACCCAGGATAAGGACTGGTACCTGAAGCCTTTATGGAAGGGGATTCCCCTTCCAAACAATTGTAAACTCCTCCATCCTCTCCTGTCTTCCATACATCACCATGTCTACATTATTATAATCAAAAAGAAGTGCTAAACCACAAGGGACCATGTCTACAATAAAGGCAAGTGTGATATTTTATTTTTCATGTATCATTGTTTTTTGTGTAGGTAAATGTATATTTCTTTTGGGGAAAATTAATTCAGAATAAGTCAGATTTGGGATAAGTCACTCTCTCTGGAACGGATTAATTACG